CACACACACACACACACACACACAGAGAGAGAGAGAGAGAGAGAGAGAGAGAGAGAGAGAGAGAGAGAGAGAGAGAGAGAGAGAGAGAGCATGGAGAAGCACAAAACAGAACCATTGCTTTATGAGGTGATCATTCAGAACACAAAACAGAACCATTGCTTTATGAGGTGATCATTCAGACTCTTATAGTACATTATGGACTCCATACTTAGATCATCAGGGGCACGGTTCCACTAGCTCACCAGAATGGTCTACAACAACCCGTGCCACACTTCAAAGAAGGTGAGGAAATGGTTTTTATAAAGACACAGAAAAACGAAAAGCAGGCCACGTTAGTTCCAAAAGCTCACGATTTGGACTGTGAGAGCGCTGATGAAGATGGGATCTCTGAAAGTGAGACAGTAGGCCTCGTTTGACCCTCCTTGGAAATCCGATTTTTAGAAAATCGCCATCGTTACACCACGTCCTAATTCACCAAATTCCTTGAATGATGAATGAATGTGAAAACGCTCCCCAGAGATTTCCTTGGGTGCCTCAGAATCCCCGCCGAAACGTCCTTGGATTCAAGGGCTCCTCACGAGGTCCCTTGGGTTAAAGGAGTCAGGAGCCCCGATTGACGGAGTGTTCTGGAGCCAGACAGGAAAATTTGGAGTCGATGTTGGTGCACAGGTCGTTTGTGGTCCATTGGGCAGATATCACCGGCCTCCAGTACCTGACGGCCCCCCAATGGCCTTTCACCGTTGCCATTGGAACGAAAATGCATGGGGGTCGTTCTTCAGCTGCAAGGCGCTTCACAAAGCAGGGTTTTCCGTACGCGCATCACTGGCCGTTGTATCCAATGGTCAAATTTTTTGATTTTTCTACAAGCGATGTTGAAGCACTGTCGGCCGATTGCAGTCATCTGCCTAGTGTGTTTTGTTGGCTATTGGCGGACGCATTGATGCAAGCTTTGTTTGGTACACCCCTTGCGTGCTGCTATTCATGGCAAACATCTTCCGGCGATTCCCGCTCCTGCTGCTGGCCACTCTTCTCCTGCTCCTTGTCGTGTTGTTCAACGTGTGCGTCGTTGTGCGGGGTCCTGGCAGCAGACGGAAATGGCAAACGGTGAGGAAGACGACGGTGGACAGGTGAGAAACCTCCAGCAGACAGCCGGTGTGTGCCATTGACTACTCCACTCCGTAGCTTCTTCTTGTGGTAGCCCTCCGCCGCCGTCGAGCACATCGGTCCCGCACGGGGACCCTCCCGGCCGCGTCACGCAGGATTTTGCAGGACTTGTCCCGGGGAACGTTTGTCGCTCCAGCCGAGTGCGCCAGCCGTACCTCTCGCAAGCCCCTACGACATGACATGGTCATGCGAGGCACCGCTTACCTCCACCTGCGGGAGCTGTCACCATACCTTAGGTGGGCGTATCCCCACCAAGCTACTGAACCACATGCGAAGACTTTTCGTATGCAACTGCAGAGGTGGCCCAGTCGAGGGCATTTCTTGTTCGTTGTAGCATAGGGGGTACGCGCAGTCGAACGCCCAAAAATCGAACCCGCACGCGAATCGATGCACTGGGGGGCTGAGGTCCCAAACGCGACTCGACGCCGGTCGACTAGGACGCATCACACACACCACGCGTTACACCACAACACTCACATCCACAAACACACAACACAACAGTATAACAACATAACAACACTCCTAGTCCCTTCGACACCCAACCCATAACTTTCCGACGCGAGAGTTAAATAGGCCTCGTTCGCTGAACTTGGCATAAAAAGCTGGGCGGGCGCATGACCTTCTCATATTGACCAGCCATGCGTGCACAAGCGAGCACTCGCACTGATGGGGTACTATGTAGTACTCGTAACCGTGCGGCCCTTGATAATCTTGAGGGTTGTGTTCGACACTCAAGTGTCGGCTGACAAGCGCTTTGAGGAGTTACCCCCTTGGCGCTAGACAGCCGCCATGTGCGGTTGAAGACCACACCCTCTTCTGCACCCTGTGCAGAGGGGTTGGGTAGACGGCTTCAAGTTTGTCGTGGTAGCAAAAAATCAAGGGGTTTGACTTTGGCAGCTGCCACGGACTACAACGTCCAACTATGAAAACTCAAAGGAGGAAGCAACCGCAAATAGAGAAAGGGGCTCACCCCCTTTTCTCTCTCTGCCTAGCCCATATCCCCCCTTGTACAGTCTGGTAGGCCTTATCAAATGGAAGGGGTAGGCCAACACGAAAGATGCGTGCGGATGATGCCCAAAATCAGACCCATAGGCGACCCGATGTTCGAAACGTTGGAGGCTAGTACGCGGATCCCCACATGCCGACTAAGACTGGTACCTCGCCCACGCGTCGTTCCTCGCTACCGAAACTCGGGTCTACTGGCCATAACACGCTTTTGTCCTTTCTGCTCGACCCATAACTTTTAGGTGCGGAAATCGGTAAGTGCTGCGCGCGTGGTTTAGTATCAAAACCGCGCGGACGCAGGATCTAAACATACCGACTAGCAATGCACTCCTACGCAAGCGGTCGTGATGACGGCGCATTATGTGGTGCCCATACCCGAGTGACCTCTTTTGATCCATGGGGTCGCTCTCGACGCTCAGGCGCCGGCTGAAATGAGCGCTAAGAGGAGCAAACCTTTAGCGAGTGCAAAACCGGCCTGAGGGCCTTATCATCTTCTGCACCTTGAGGTATTCCAAAGGGTGCGGGGCAAGATGGTCCCTAGGGTAGGAAGGAATTCAGAGCGGTGGTGAGTTGTCTGGCGCATCACCAGCGACACGCTGAACCTTCCGCCCGGAACTTTATCGTTCCACCAAAATAAATTAGAACAAGGAAAAAGAAAAAAATGACATTTGACGCTAGCCGAAGAAACATGAACACCCCACCGGACTGAGTTGGTGGGGGACAACCCTTCAACCTCGCGGCGCTTCTGTCTCCCAGGTACAGCGTCGTGCGCGCAAGTAACTCAACCTCCGCGTGAGGGGTAGCCCCTTCTGTGCTGAGTCTGGGACCTGAGACGTCCTGGATAAGTACCTCGAACTCCAGGCTCAAGACTAACGTTCGACAAAATAAAATCATCGGGTAAAGAAAGACGTAGGCGTGCGGTCGCATGACCCTATGAGGGTTACCCGAGCGTACGCCTATTCTGACTATCACATCACCAGAATGGGGAAAAAACAATCTCACTTAAACAAAAAAAGTTGTGGGGTAGTTCACTCTCAGGACAGTTGTGTGGTTTGCCCATCTGGATTCAACACATAATCATCCAACAAGACTCAATCGAGATTCTTCCATACACACCTGCAATCATACACACAACATTCAAATAACATTACACACGCTAAAGGGGTCAATTTTTCAACCTTCTGCAGCTCACACCCTGCCTTATGCACATAAGTCCAACCTTTACCCAACCTTTCCTAAAAAAAAATGCTCAGTCTTTAAGAAATGACCATTTATAAAGAATCTGGGTGAAAACCCTAGAAAACATAAAAACCCAAGAAGGGTCAAGACCTTAGGTTGAGAAGCAGAGGGAACATGAAAGTTGAGTCGTGAACCGACGAATCGGCAACCGACCTGTGATAAGTGATAACAGAAGAGTGATCCTTTTGAAGGATCAGGCTGATCAGATCAAGCCCTCAAGCGAAATACGGAAACCTGCATCACAGTATAGACAAAAAAAAACACTACTATGTTCATACCAAAGGGAAGATACTCCCCAAGTCGTAACCTAACTCCTCTACTAATCTCATTGTTATTTCTCCTCACTAGTACTAAGTCGTTGAGTATCTCCCCTATTAAGGGTAGATCTGCTAAGTAGCTTCTAGCTGAAAATATTATAACTCCACGAATTCTACGAAATTTCGGCAGCGCTCCCCGTAGGAAAAGTGTCTTTCCAGAATTTCTACGAGTCCAAAAATAACTAACTCCCTTATATTTATAGAAATTTCGGCAGCGCTTCCCGTGGGAAGAGGAGGCTGCCAAGATTTATACAAAGTTGAAAACAGAAAGACAAAGCAAAGCTATACTTGGGTCTATACTTCTGACACTTGTTGGATAGTTAGGATTGAAGATCATTTACACGATCCCCTTTCAAAGGATGGTATTGTGAGCTATCATCAATTCTAGCTTCAAGTAAGGTCAGTCCTATCTTCATCCCAAACTTTCCCTCCCATCATTCGACTCATCTACCTATGGCCCCAACACTTGGCGAGCATCTTAAACAGCTAACCTATCAAAAAGACACCCCAAAGTGAGACCCCACAAACATGCATGAACAATCAGTTTGACCCAAGTAGTTCGTCAGATCACTCAGTTCTTTTTCCCTTAGTAGACCCCCTTGCCTATGGCATAGGATCAGACAACGCCTTAACTTAAGGGTATGCCCAACCTGCCTAGGTAAACAAGTAAAGTACGCATAACTGGACTGCCCTAACTTAAGGGTATGCCCAATATCATATTGAATCTAATCAT